AATTAAAGTTCATTTATTCAACGAAAATGAAGGCCGACCCTGTGTTATTTATTAAAAACTTTGGAAATGTTTTTATACGACCCGAGATGCAACCTTATAATTTAAGTCGGTATAATCTAATACTAGCAATACTAAAAGAAGGTTAGCTTACATTGTCAAAAAATTAGTTGTGCAGTCAACTGATTCTGTATTTGTATTGAATTCATTATTCACTTAATTATTAAATATTAAGCGTCGTCCATCGATCCATCAGTGTTAAAAAGTGAAAGTTCCCAGACAAAAGTTTCTATTTTATAATTCCACGATAGTGACAGCGTAATTTTTATAAAGAAGTAAAAAATAAGAATAGCGTGCCGATTATATTAAAAACGAGATTCTTATTTCTTACTTTTCTTAACTTATTAGTTTGTGCAAAAACTACTTTTACAATGAACCGAGAAGACAATGTATTTACTATTTCCGAACGTGTCGATATGGTGTTAGTGTATGGCGCAGCCGAAGAAAATGCGATTAGGTTATATCGGGAACGATGACCACAACGTCACCCCTCATGTGCAAATACAATCCTACAGTGCGTTCAGAGGCTGCGAGATACAGGAAGTGCTATTCCTAGAGGAGAAGTGCGTGGTCAACAAGTGAACCTTAATGTTGAAGATGCAGTGTTAGAAAATCTTGATGAAAACCCCACAATTAGTACTGGACGACACACACAGCAAGTAGGAACCTCATCTCGTACCGTATATCGCATCTTAAGGCGCCAGCTGTTGCACTTCTATCATTTGCAACCAGTTCAACAGATTTTACCCCCGGATTGTGATCAACGAATGCGTTTTTGCAGATGGTTTTTACGGCAATGTGCCAATCAAGTAGACTTTCCTGCTTATGTTTGTGTAACAGATAAGGCGACATTTACCCGTGATAAAATGAATTTCCATAATATGCACATATGGGCCGATGAAAATCCTCACGCGATTAAGGAAACTCATTTTCAAAATCGGTTTCGCTAAATGTTTGGGCGGGCATAATAGGTGATGTACTTGTGGGTCCCTATTTCTTTGAAGGGTGACTAAATGGACCAACATATGCTGACTTTTTGGAGAATCAGTTGCATGAACGATGTGGCATTACAAGTTCGGGCACGTATGTTTTATCTTCAAGATGTGGCTCCTCCACACAGTACTCGAGAAGTAACGACACTTTTGAATTAAATGTTTGCTCAGCGATGGGTTGGACGCTTTGATCCTGTGCCGTAGCCACCTCGGTCACCCGATCTAACTCCAATGGACTTTTATCTTTAGAGTATAATACTCCAATTGCTACGGTGGGAGAATTGTGAAACCGTATACTTGAAGTTGCTGACACAATTAGGGGAATACCTGAAATTTGGGAAAATATTCGCCAAAATTGGGTGCGTCGGTGCCATGCCTATATCCGCGCTATAGGGATCAATTTCAACATTTTCTCTAGAAATAGTAAGTTTCATTTTGTTCCTTATTTTAATGGAGTTTGTTTAGTGCACACAGTTGGCAACTACAAATGCTTACGGATGTGGTTTTGTTTGCAAACTCTTGCAGTAACAACAATGCATTTAAGATAGTCATTACTATTAATTAGTATAATAAGAAAATATCAGTTTTTTTAAATATCTATTTTTCTTAGTTTTTTACTTTTGCATCGAAAATTCCCCAAAAATTGAAAAGTATCTTTCTATCTTTCAACGACGATTTATTTACGCGGCTGGTCTACAGCACGTAACTCATTGTACAGTACACGGACAGGACCGTTCCAGAGAAAATATTTTGATCCATAATTGAACTCTAATTTACGAAAAACGCAAAGTTAAAACTTTTTCGTATAAGACTTTTCTATTACAAATATCGTTAGAACGCTGTAGTTTAATTTTTATAGATTATACACGCCACACCCTGTATAAAATAATTTTAAATAATAATTGATATTGGTTATCTATTTTAGGACACACAGACAAACATTGTAATGAATGTCTATACAAATGTAGAACATAACCCGGCTATAGGTCGTGTGAAATTGTAGATAATATCATCACAATTGTGAAAATCAGAACAAAGCATGTGTGTGACTATATGTCGCAATCCGACACCGTTAAGAGATAAAAATTAAAAATATCGGTTTTTTTCTGTGACTGAACAAATCGTTTTCACAGACGAAAAAAAATATTTCATCCCTAGTTTTAAATGCAATTTTTTCTACTTATCATAATTTTATGTTCAATTTAATTCCAAATTAACCATAATACAGCAAATTATTAATTACATTTTAAACTGTTTCCATTTAACAACGCATACATTATATTCAAAATAGCCGTTGTCACCACACAGCGTAAACTATCTGTGTGATTGTAAATTGACCAAAATAATCCACCACTACCAATCGGTGAAAAGAGTGTGTATTAAAATCCACCAAACGTATACGTGATGAAAGTTACAAGTGTTTTTAAATTCATTATTTAATCAACCTAATGATTAATCAATCCATCACAGAACAGACGTGATGGATTTGGTAAATGGTTAGTGGACAAATCGTAAATGATAGTAAAATAAAGGAAAAAATGCAAGATTTGTAATAGGATAATGTACAAATAATGAAATACACTGAAGATGAATTTTTCGAGACAAAACGTCTGAATCTGTATGAGGCAGTACAGTATTGGGGGTCATGAAGGCTTGCAAAAAATGTAATAACATTTCTAGGGTCGTATTTAAAAAAATGAAGTTGATGATGGTGCTGGAAAGACGAAACGTTATATTCAAAAATTGATTATGCTATTCGATAGAGGACAAAAAATGGCCATGAGTGTTGTTCTTTTTTCAATATCACCTCAAACGAGGCTGAAATGAATCAAAAACGGGTTTCCAAAATTTCGTTTTTTTTCAAATTTTTCGAAAACTAATCATGTTAACCTTGATTTTTAGAGGCATAATGTTGGTCTCCTGATTGCGCAACTTTGCCCCCATTTAAGCTACTTCGTAGCTCTTCCCGTTTCCGAGATCCCTGTAGTGAGACGCGAATAATATGTAACAGCCTGTATACATAATTGTATATGTATAAAAACGTTTAAAATAAATATTAATAAAGATAAAGTAATAAGTATTGACCAGTGCACAACACACGTATAAGAAAACTCAATTTATGTTTGATTTAATTTTCATACTAATTGCACCTACCATTTGATATACCTAATGAATAATAAAACATTTCATTCCTACTGGAATAAATACAACCCCGAGTGGATGTGACCATATCGGACCAGCTTAGAAGTAGATTATTCAATTATGTAAATATTACCTATATCAGAAGATGTCGTAGGTTTTTTGTCTTCAGATTAAGATATTTTATCACTGCCGCGAATAAGTTTCGCTGTAACAAGGGTAGAAACATACATGATGATGCGATCTATAATGGATCCTATCCAGATTGTGGAACCGATGGCGACGATACGTAAAACAATTTATGTGTTTCACAATGATACACTTTATTTTATGTTGATGAGGCGCGGCCAATTATGACAGCTCTAGTGATCTTACTTCATTGTTTTTGTCCATATTACCTGGTTTTCCGACTGAAACCTTTATAGTTTAAAACTTTTATCTTAACTAGTTAATCGTGATTAATTTTTTTCCGTTTTACATACACAGGGTGACACATTTCCAATGGACATACCCTTGTAAAATATTTATTTATTGACCGATTTAATTCGAATTTCTTTTCAAAGATAAGGCTTGAAAAATTCCATTACATCGTATAACATATACCTAAATTCATTATCAGTTAGCAAAGCCTATTTCTTATTTGTTTTAACGATTTTTTTAATTTAAAATCTGATTATTATTATTATTATTATTATTATTATTATTAATTAATAATATTCATTTTTTTAATTTCCGTTCTTCCTGCGAATCTTAAATCAATTATTAAATAAACAAATAAAATATCCATTAATTTGTTTTTCGTAATATGTGCAATTCCAAATCAAAAAATTATATTTGAGGCATATGTCATTATTGATATGGTACTTTGTTATTTGTAATTATAATGGGTTCATCCATTAAAATTAAAAATTACTGTTTGATTGGGAACTCCACATGTTAGTGAATATGTTTATTTGTTTTATGTGCTGTTTCATAGATTGCTTACCCCGTTTAGGAGAACCGGAAATGATAAAATCTTTAATATTAAGTTACAATGAGCAATAAATATTTTCTTTTGAAACTGGGACAAATTACATTGGATCCAGTGGTATAGTCTGTTTAAAAAAAAAACGATAACCAATTTTTGTTAGGTAGGTTGATAACTGATACTAAATTCAAATCGTACGTGATTTAACAGACTTTTTTAAGCCACATAAAGAAACGAATTAAATCAGTCAGAGGAAATAGCATTTTTGGTTTGAGAAATATCACTTTCTTTTCACTAATTCGTCAGAAAAATCTTCCTCTCGAATATACGACTAGAAAAAATAGCTTATATTACAAAGAAATTAAAAGAATCACATTAGTCCTTTGTCATGCTTAAAAAATTCTATTACTACTTTTAACAATATTCTAAACACAAACCACTTCGCCTGGTCCGATGAGAACCCTCCCTTACACATAACTTAAGACACTGTGTACCATCCAAAGTATTATGTATTAACTATTATCTCTACAGGCTCAAGGTGTTTTGGTTGTCCCTTATCTGGTTGATTTACAATGCCAAAAGGCTGGACAAAACGTCAAACTAGAACGGTTTGCATAAACATGGCGCCCTGCCAATGTCGAGTGCATGAGCGATTATTCTTATCAACACACATCTAATTTTAATGGACGGTGTTTAATCCTCCGGTTATAAACATATTAAAACAATAATAACGTACCGTTTCGCGAAAGCTTTAAAAATCGATTAGGGAGGACGATATAATTTAATCCTTGTTTATCGCGGAACTTATAAAAAAGGAAAATCTTTGAAGGGGAATATCAAATGTGGTGAAAGCGCTGTAGGGTACTGTGTTAACTGAAAAATGTTTCTGAAACATCCTATAAGTTTTACTCTTGTTTCGGTGCTCACAGGTCAGTATTGAATTTAATTTAACAGTTTTTATTTATTTTTTTCAACGGACGATTCGTTTGAACCGCGCAATACTGAAAGTGTGAAAAATGCTGCTAACAGAATTTGTCTTTGCCATTCACCATTTTAGATTTTAACAAGACTATTACTATTTTTTTATTGATTTTGAAAAAATCTATACATATGAGGCACTTTACCAATTATTGATTTTGCTATCATAAATTCAAAACATACAAGCGAACCTCTGTTTGGGTGAATATGTGGAAGACGATCAAAACAAGTAAACAGTAGTGCGAGTAGTCTTCATTATACCAGGTGTTTCAAGATTGAAGTGACAAAAGCCTAGGGAAGATTCCGCTCAGCAAAATATGTAAAAAAATTCATATGAACATGGGTCCGCAAGTGCTTGGGTTCCGAGACACAGGGTGTTAATTTTTATTTAATTAAATTTAAAAAACGCTTTAGCCGATTTGAATGAATTTTTTACGGTTTATTAAAACAATTATTATCATACACCAACTGAACCGTTTAGATTTGATCCAAAATTTTCAAGGACGTACACTGCCGGCCCTTTGAAAGTGGACGATTTATTTTTCTAATGTGATGTGGTCTACTTTTCTTATTATGACAAGTTTGTATATATCAGTGTCATTAGTAATTTGCTTCGTAATTCAAGATGCCGCGTTTAACGGAACCAGAGAAAGTGAGAGCTATAACTTTACTTCAGAATGATTGGTTATTGCGGATGATCTGCATGTCTGCAAGAACAGCATATTTAAACTCAAAGAAAAACGGATTGCGGAGGGTCACGTGCATTATGTTCACGAAGGTTTGACATGGCAGTAACGGCTTCCTTTGAGATGAATTTTCCTGGATCAGTGCGAACTGCAAGGAAGCGGGAGAAAGATTCGGAGCTGAAGAATTATGTGGCTGCAAATACAGTTGCTTTAACTCCCCAATATAAAGAACCGAGGTTAGAGTTTGCAAGACAATTTGTAGGAAGCCCAGACAACTTCTGGGAGAATATTACATTTTCTATCGAAAAAAGTTTTCAGTCTTGCTCCGATGGTTCTGTCCGTGTCTGCCCACCAGTGATTATAAGGTATTCGGAGTTTTAAGTGAAACCCATAGAGCGCAACGGAAGATTCTTCATTAACGTTTGGGCTTGGATAAGCTGCCAAGGTCCTGGTGTTTGTTGGAGAATAGAAGAGCGCCTCACTGGACTGAGCTATGTGTGCATAATGGAAAAAGTTATGCTGCCATCCGTGACCATGCTGTATCCTCAGAATTTCACTTTCCAGCAAGATAATTGTGTGATTCACACCTCAAGAGTTGCGCCAGAATGGTTCATTGATAACAACATCGATGTTTTATCTTGGCCCTCAAAGTCCCCTGTCCTCACTTCTATCGACAACGCCTGGGGATATATGGTGAAAAAAATTTACGACAGAAACTTCCGTCCAGCTAACGTCGAAGAACTTTGGAAGGCAATTAAAGAATGGGGTAACATCACTGATGATTACACAAGAAAATTAATTTTATCAATGCTATGTAGATTGCAAAGTGTTAATAGACAAAAATGGTGCTTGGACAAAATACTAACTTTACGAATCGCGTTTTTCTGACGACGAAAAGTGTTTCATTTTTAGATCTCGTTGACGGTGAATGATTGGTAGTTAGAATGTATAATATATTTCAGTATTGGAAAAACCTAATTTGGATTTGTTTTGCTCACTAGAACTAGTATGATAGACACATTAAATTTGACATAATGACAGCCAATTTGAACTTCACATTTTCAAGTCGGCTTCACAAAGGCCAATTAGCTTTATAAGAGTCGTCCACTTTCAAAGGACCAACACTGTACCCAGCAAGTCGTTTTGTAGAAATGAATTTAGTTTTTTTTCGGTTTTTATGTAATATTCAAATAAAACGTAAAAAATTTATTCAAATCGGCTAAAGCGTTTTTTAAACTCAATTAAAAAAAAAAATTAATACCCTGTATCTTGCACTTGCGGATCTATGTTTACAACATTTTACATATTTTGCTAAGCGGAATATATTGTTCATATGTGATAGCAAGACTTAAGAGTTATGCAAACTATAATTATCACTTCTTGATACAAACAAAATTCTAATATTTTTTTTGTATAAAATCTTCAGGTATAAGATTTAATGCACTCATATTTATTTAATAAACATAAACAATGCAGCAAAATATTATTGTTACTAAAAGATTATTTCAACAAAAATATCAAGTCTAAAATTTGGAGTTTGCTAGATTTTATCTGATTCTGATTTTTTTAAAGCAGTAAATATAAATTCAAATGTGGTACAAATGATATGAAAAAATAAGATCAAAAGCGTTAAACAAAGTAATATTTTTATTTACTGCTATAGTAAGCATATAAATAACAAAAATTTTATATGTTGAAGAATTATTGGTTTACAAAAAATTTAGTTTTAGAAACAGTTTTCAATCATTACATTATAACCCATCAATTGTTATGTTTTGATTAATTTTGGGCCAATCTCATCATTATTATATTGACAAATCTGAAATTTTTATATCAGTAAAAAACATATTATGTGGTTTTACCGCTATCAAAAATAACCTATTGCCAGATAACTGAATTGAATTTAGAAATATTAAGTTAAGCTTTTTTTTTCACTTTATATCACTTTATTCATATCACTTTACATTAATTCAATGTATACTTTTACATTCAATAAATTTGACAAAAATAAGACAAAATACCACACGATTATAAATTACAAAAATAATATACCTATATACAATAATCACAATTACAATAGTTACAATTTCATTCTTGTATCTTATATGAGAAAGAACTTTTGCCTAAACTACATGTAAAATGCAGTTTGCGCGCAAATATGTCCCTTCTCAGATGGCAAATTTTGATAAGTAATTCCGTAGTGATTGCGGCGGAATAAGACCTCAAATCGTATTCTTAGAACACTAATGAAAAATTCTTGTTAAATACCATTCGAGACAATGGTTTTCTGATAATTTTTTTCTCAGTTTTGTTTTCGCAAAAGTGAGAAAGTAATAAAGATTACACTCATGTTTTATCGGGAAAAATAACAATTCGCTAATAATATTATATACAGGAAAATAATTTACTGGAAATAATTAAGGCCTTCTATGATGCTACAATATTTTTTACAACTCACAATGGAAATGACACCTTCGGTCATGAAACTCATGAGTGTAACAAACATTTGCCCAAAAGCGGTTTAAAAAAATTAAACAACTTAAAACTTATGATATTAAAAAAAATGAAAGTCTTGAAATGACACTGATCAACTGAATATAAATCACAACCTCAAACATAACTTTTAGTTTATTATCTCTTAAAATGATATTATTTAGATGTGAATTTTATTCACGCAACTGTAAAATTTCGCAGTCAAATATTTTTTTCTGTACGTGCATATTCAGTATACAAGAATTGTCCACAAATTAAATAAATCATAGAGATTTAGTTACCTGGTATCATAGATAAGGCGTTTAGGAAATGTTATCTCTTTTAAGTTGATTTACCGATAATCATCTAAGTAATGACATTTTAAGCGTCCATCCATCTCATTTATAAGTAGGTACTCAAGAAGTTTTAAAAAAACCATAAATCAAGTGGACCGTGAAACAAAATAGCTGGTGAGATGAGTCTCATCTGTTTATTTCACAAAAGGATAATAGTATCTCTATTATATATGGTTTAAGACATTTCAACAAAAACTTTAAAGTTAGTTTTTAGAAAATTGTCACGTCAGTAATATTTATTTCGAAAAAGGGCATTTTCACATGAAATATGACGTCAAAATAAAAAAAATTAATACTAGACACACTTGTGGAAGGGGGAAGGACTAAGTTTTTTTTTGGAACACGTTATACAAGGCTATTTACAGAATACTTTTTCCTTTACTTCCGAACTTAGAAAAAATTGATGTGGTTTTCGGAAATTTTCTTAAAATTTCAAAGCAATAATTAGAAAAACAATTGTTTGTAGTCTACCGTGTTGGTCATATCTGCCTTCCTAGAGCTTTGACCTATACCATTTAAATACAAAACATAAAGAGGTAGTATATTATGTTACTACTATTGTACATATGTCAAAATTATAATTAAAACATTAATGTAATGTAATGTGAAAGGAATATCTATAATTAAATTAAAACATTCAGAATATTGGAATAAATTGATTAGTTTCTTTGAATTTGTCCTTTTGTACTGCTTTTATTTTCTTAACAACTTTAACATATTTACAGACAGGGCACTGTAGATATACTTAACGATATTTAATGTAATGTAAAACATTTTACCAACCGTAAAATGGAGATACTTTGTAATAATAATAATTTAGTACTTAGGCAGACGAAATCACTAAGGCCATTGTTCATTTTTTTACAATATTGGTACTTTGGTATACTTCGTTTTGTGCTAGAAAGTAAAGAATTGTTTAAATCTTAATTTAATTATGATTTTCATGTTTAAAAAAAGTGGTAGATGTTATTTTTTATAATATATGTATATTGATGCCACAAGAATACAAAACAACTTACTTATTTTTAAATACGTTTGCGTTTGTTTTCTGTAGCAAATAGTACCCGGAGAAACTATCAGTTATTGATTTTTAATTCATAAAAAATGGCAATTTCAAAACTTGACACAAAATAGAAATAAAGTGCTTGTCACAGAATCTTAATAAGTTTAAAAACAATATACGAGATACGTATTTGTCGTCCTGTTCACCATCACAAAATAATATCAGCAGTTACCTATAAAGCTATTTTTAGTTAAATGAAATTAAAATGAAATGACTGTCATATATTTCTTATACCGCGTGTTTCAGGAGGAATAGTCGATACTTTCGTATGTTATAATATCAGCGTATTCAGCGTGAGAAAAAATGTGGGTCATTTCAAATAAATTTCACACATACACACGTTAACAAATCAATGCTAAATGTTAATTATTTGCTGGAAGCCTATTCGATAAATTTACCTGTTTTGCACTCGACGCAATATACATTAAAATTACTGTATCTCAGTAACCATTGAGATTTGAACACATATGAATATAAACTTTTTTATTCAAAATGAACGATACTATAATGTATTGAAGTTTTCACTATTCCTCCTCAAACGCCCGGTATTAATTTAGAATTACATTTCTCTAACAATACTTTTCACTTTTTTCCAGTAAATCTGTTGGCCACTACAGGAGACATAACTTTATCATGGACTTCCCCGATCTACCCTAAACTCTACTCCAACGATTCCTCCATCAATCCATTGGGCAGACCCATCACGGAAGACGAAGATGGGTGGCTGGGATCCTTGCTTACTCTTGGAGCAATTGTGGGCCCTTTTCCCTACAGTGTCGTAGCCTCTAGGTTCGGAAGAAAGATAGGCCTACTCGCAATCGCAATTCCACACATCGTGTCCTACTTCACCTTGGCCTTTGCGAGGACGATCTATCTGTTCTACTTCGCGAGAGTATTTGGTGGCTTAGCCATGGGTGCCGGGTACAGTCTGCTGCCTATGTACATTGCAGAAGTATCAGAAGTCGCCAACAGAGGCATGATGTCGCTAACACTAAACGTATTTTGGGCCATAGGAAACTTTATCCCGTACGCAATAGGTCCCTTCATATCTATCATGTGGTTCAACATAATTTTAGCTTGCATCCCGACAGCCTTCTTTATTATATTTGTCATAATAGGGGTTGAAACCCCATATTTCTTAGCCGAGAAGAACAAAACTGATAAAGCTGAAAAATCACTGATGAAATTAAGGTCCCTCGAGAAACAAGGAGTGCAGAAGGAGCTTGAAGATATCAAGGCTCACTTGAAAAAGGATGAGGACGGACACTTGACTGACATCTTGAAGAGACCAGAGCTTAGAAAGGCCTTCATAATATGCTTAGTGCTAATTATAGCCCAAGAATTGTCTGGTTTCTGCGCCATCACATTCTATTTACAACCTATATTTGAAGCTGCAGGCACACCAATATCTTCAGAAATGTCTGCTCTCTACGTAGGTATTTCTATGCTTGTATCTAGCTTCATATCACCCTTCCTCGTAGACCGTCTAGGCAGGAGAATATTAATAATAGGATCGTGTTGTGGTATGTGCGTTGCACTGGCCATGATAGGTGCCTTTTTCTACGTGCAAGATGCAACAGACAATAGCACCGATTCCATTACTTGGATTCCCATCTTCAGCTTAATTTTCTACATCACCTCTTTCAATTTCGGTATGAGTTCTGTACCCTGGACGCTCTGTTCGGAGATGTTCCCAAGCAATGTCAAGCAGATAGCCGCCTCGTGTGTATCCAGCACCTGTTGGATCACAACTTTCCTAGTTACCAGATTTTTTAATGATATGAATGATGGTTTGGGAAGGTTCGGCAGCTTCTGGTTCTTCTCGGCTTCGTGTCTGGTCGCTGCAGTGTTCAGCGTAGTAATGGTACCAGAAACTAAAGGCAAGAGTTTCAGCGATATCCAGGATATGCTTCGATATGGATCCATAAAGAAGTCTGGGGATAATATAGTGCATGAAGTTAAAGTTTGGCCTGACGAAAATGGCATAAAATGAAAACGGTGAAATATCTCAAAATTAATATATTGGTGTTTATTTAATTCAGGGGGTAATAAAAGTGAAATACAAATAATTTAATAAAATATATAAAAAGAGGTATTTGAATACACGACCAACATTTATTACACCAAGTTGATTTCAACATGTAAATATTCGTGGATTTTCTCAAATTTTACTGTTTGTACCATAATTGTTATTTATTTAGAAAATAAAGACATATTTTTTAATATACTTAACTGTTTCTATTTCCCATACCCAAAAAAGAAAGCTAAACATTCCATACAACACATTAGTTAGGCTATACAGCCTATAACAGCTATACCTATTGCAATTTCTCACAAAATAAAAGCAAAAATAACATGCAGGGCGTAGTTTATGTAAAAAAAAATATTCCAGGAGGTCATTAATTGGATTACTTTAAGAATAAAAGTTTGCATAAATCTACTCACGCCTTAGCTCACGAAACGTAGTGTTAAAACTTTTGAAACGTTTATCGTATTTGAGGTAGACTGATGAAACTTGGGCTAGTGACTAAACTAATTATAAGTAGGTATAGGTAAAACTTCACTGAATTTATATACAGTTATGTAAACCAGTAGCATAGGGCTGGGAGGCACTCATATTAACAACCCAAGCTTAATTTGGAAATTCAAGTGATATCTTTTGATTACTAATTATATTTTAGAGAAAAAATAGGTTTCTTTAAGAATAATTTGACTTGACGAGTGAGAAGTATAGAGAGAGGTACTTCAGCAGACGTGAGTACATTGCTATTCTGCTGACCGTGAATTCGTTATCGAACCTCTGGTTATTGTCATAAAAATATCCAGTGTTTTATTTGTAACGGTTTTATTTTAAATCATTTTCACTTACGGTATTACTTATTATTTTGTAACGATGAGTGATACGAATAGTAATAATAACGCCTAAATTACCTATACATCCTCCAATATACAGGGTGTTCCAATTAAAACTTCCCGCCTAGAAAATATCGGAATTAAAAAATCACCAAAAAAAACCTGAGACACGTCGATTTTCTTTTCAAGGGAGACAAATGATGGCGTAAGTTTTGGTGTCTTGTAAGCTACCCCTTAGGCAGCGGCGTAAAATACCCTTAAATTTTAATTTTTAATTTAAAATTTTAATTAATTTTTAATTCTGCTCACGACATATGATTTTTTAAATTTTGGTTTGGATATGATAATAAAATCATCACTTAAAGAATAAGACAAAATATCAGTGAATGAAAGAATGTTATTATATTAAGTGTTCAAATTGGTTTCCCTGCGCTTCAATACAAGAAGAGGATGTGTGATTTCAGCAGGATGGTACTCTACCACTTTATGGCGTAGCGTAGCTGTGCGTGATTTTCTTAATTAGAACTTTCCAAATCACTGGATAGGTCGCAGAGGTTCAATTGAGTGGCCTCTCATGTCGCCAGATCTAACGCTCTTAGACTTTTTTTTATGGGGGTACTTAAAATCGAAAATTTATTCAACACGACACGACCGAGTCACTTGAGGAGCTTCGTCGGCGAATTGTTGAAGAATGTCGTCAGATAACAGTCGAAATGCTTCGAAATGCACGTTCGGATGAGGAGCAAAGATTTTATTGTATACAGGGTCGGAAAGTCCCCATGGTTCATCGGCCGTTTCGTGAGAGCGATAAAGTAAGTCATAGAAATCCGTGGGATAGAGAATGATGGCTATAATGAAGGCGTCTAACAGTCACCGCCTATTTCGCCCTTCCACAAATAAGAAGTGGATCTTATGTTATGGATGTTATGATGAAACCTATTTACCTCTTGAATTTGTTTTGCAGAATGCAGAACAATTTTTTGTAGAATGTAAAATAGAATTCACGAGTAATAGTCCAAACACCATTACAGGAGCTCATCAGCAATGGACGAATGAAAGCCAATAATTTTGCTGCAAATTTTTCAACAGTTAGAGGTATGTAATTATGAAAAAGTAATTGTGTTCATTGTCATAAACGCAAATTTGTGCAAAACTATAAATTATACTGATTTTCGTCGTTATGATTTTTGGACTTAGAAGGTGTACAAGTTTTTTGGAGTTGAAACACCAACAAAAAATGTGGAAATTCATATAAAATTTTTGCAACTTTTACTAATTTTTATACACAAAAATGTAAATGAATTGAACATACACGCTACATTATATTGCGTATAGTTTCTTTTTGCCATATTTTTTTTACCTTTTACGTTGTATATATACATTTTAAAATGTATTATTCCTAATCCATTATGTTTTTATGTGGATATCTGATGTATGTAATAAAAGTGTGAATTTATATGACCTGATTTGGCTCAAACAATCGAATTGTGTAGAGTGTGTTAGAGTTTTTCAATGGGCACGTTTATATTCATTAGTGGCGTAATAATACAGGGTGTCCCGAAATTCATGCGACAAAATTTGGTCATAGATTCTTAAGACATATTTAGGGGACCCGTATTTTTTCTTTTTGCCAACTAGCCTCCTCTTTCGGAGTTACAGCCCCCTGAAAGCAAATTAGATTTTTTTTACAAAAAGTGTAAAATTACATCCTTAATGTAACTTTACTTGTATGATGTAATTTTACATCACCTACTGTGGCGTCAAAATAACCAATGATCTAGTGTGTAATTTTACATGAAATTTTTATCTCTTTGAAATCCAATCCACTTGTTAGTTCTTGTTCAAATTTATCACCCATGAGAGAACTGCATTGTGTCAAGTTAATGTTTTCAATAGACCTTCTGTACCTGATTTTTAGGAAAAATATTTTCATTTTTTATTTATTTTGAATGATCGAAGTTAATCCTGTCCCAAAGTCGCTATTCATCTTGTCTTTCTCAGAGGTACCTACCTAAGAAACAAAAAATATAATATAAATTAAAATTCTTTTCTATCCAGTTTTATCTAGTTTATGCCGCGCAAAAATGATTGAAATATTGATTATCACTTATTTTATTAAGATTGGGTATAAATAAAACCAGTTATATAAAACAGAACGTCAATCAATAATAATTATTTTAAACGACCTGACAAAAATATTATGACAAAATAAACCCTTAAGACTAAAGAACATATAATATGTATGAATTAATCATTCGTTAGATATCTTCAATAAAAAAGAAAATAATTTATAATTTGTTTGGAAAAGATAATAATCGATATTAAGATTGGACAAATACGCAATGCAAAATTATAGAAAATATATGATCTTGATATAAACAAGACACGTTAAAATTAAGATTATATTTTTATTCGAGAAAACTTCTCTAAATAATAATTCAAAATCAAAGTCAAAGGTTTTTATAATATTATTTTTCTATCTTTATCAATCTTTTTTAAGATTTTTGCTCAGGAAAAATTATTTTCATTTATTTATTTAAATATTTAAATTGCTAGCTTTTTAAATTCAATCTAGTGGATTTCACTTGAACTTTGCTTATTCTTTCTATAACCTTCAATGCTGTACAACCACGTTCTAATAGAATCTTGTTTTTTCCTCTCTCTCTCATCAAAGCTTACCAGTAAAGATTAAAACAAGATTTAACGATTTTTATAAAGATTTATTTAAAGATTAATAAATCGTAAAGATTATAATTAGTAAAGAGATTGTTAACAGTAACAATTATTTTGGAGGCTTATTTTTGTAAATGATATTCTTGAAGAGACGATAGAGAATAATCATAAAGAAATTTCAATTTGTTAGCGAAGAATTAATAGTTAAAGTTTAAATAAAGTCACGTAAGATTTACTGAAGATTTAAAAGAAGTTGCCGTTCTGCATTAGTCCATTCTAAGTGAATTTTTGTGAAGTCCCGTAAGTAGATAATCTTCTACGAACTAACACAAATGTTGTCTTGCTTCACCATAATATAAAATGTTGTCTTGTTTCACGATAAATTAAAACGATATTTATCAATACGAGTTGCTATACACGCAAGACATTTTTGACACTAATTATATTACTAAAAAACACCACAGATAACAGGTAAACACTAACACAACGACGATTGTAAAATCGGATTTCAGTATGCGGAGTCGCTGAGGCCACGTGGCTTTCCACGCGAATTGCGAATGACATTAGAGACTACAGTTGTCCAGCTATGTAATGGTTGAATGTACTACAACTTCAATATTTTTTTTCTCGGAAACTGTAAGGATTTTACACATTTTTTTTTAATATCAACTCTATTTCTCTTGCCGCATCTATTCCCAATTTTTTTTGGATAAGTTGTGAATCACCCTGTATTTAAATACAGGGTGATTCACAATAAACAAATTAAATGTACGCACGGATAAGATATTTAGTGAAACTGTTAAAAGTAAAATTCATAATAAGAGAGAAATAAAATTATGAGATTTAAAAGCGTAATCAATATCGCACATAGAGGACAAAAATAATATAACATGACAAGTAAAAACTGATTACATTATAAAGAAAAATAGTCAAATTTAACAATATTTCATATTTAAAGCATTGCAGTTATAAAAGTCAATATTACAAATAGTGTTATGATTATTGTACAGTACATAAACTTTAGTTGTCCTTTCATAAAACTACGTTGCTAGATATTTATTGCATTTTCTGTCTATCGCCTTTCTTAAATATAGCTAAAATCTTAGACATCAAATTGCTGGAAATTGTTATTTATAATCAAGTTATAAATTACGGGCGCAAATTCTGTAACGGTAAATTAATAATATCATATAAATAACTCTTGACTGTTCCTTTTGGTAGAAAAATTACTTTAATGATTTTATATTTTTTTCACGAATGATAAAATAGCTACATAAACAAAAAAAAGTAGAAATCAATTTAATTTTAGATTTAAAATCCCCTAAACCCTATGTTTATCTTCTTTCTTTTAAATGATTCCCGAAGTATCAAATAGTGCGAGAAATGCATACCAGACCTGGCTAATGGTGGATCCGCTTCTGCTCAAACGAGAGTTTTTTTTATATGAATTGTAATAGCAAAATGGATTTAATAAATGAAAATGTATTAATAACTGTAGCTACATGTACGGATTATAATACAATGTCCTGGATTGCTGTTGGCAACAAATCTCAAAAAGATTTATTTGTCAGCGCTGTCTATTCGGCGTACATAATAACACAGCACCAAAAAAAAAGTGGGAGGTCCCAAAGGACAAGGCCATGATATCCATATGTTTTTGAGATTGCTGAATCCGAATCCGATGTCTGTTTGACCCAATCAGGTCTGGGTTAAAGTTAGTTCAACGTCAAATATAGGGAATCGATTGTCAATAAAGTAAATCTACTATCCGTACGTTTTTGAATTCGCTAAATTCCAATGACCATATCAGGTCTGGGTTAGATCAGTTCAAGGAAAATGTAAAGAATCAATTGCCAACAATTTAAATCTACATATCTATACTTTTTGGGGTCACTGAATCCGAATCCAATTGCCAACTGACTCGATCAGGTCTGCAAAATACTTTCAAGTTCTAAACTCAAAACTAAAAAAAATAATAACATCTCAGTAACAAATAAGATTAAAGGAAGAAGGCTTTACCTCTGAGCCCGTGATTCTTGTGTTACTGGTTTTGATATGACAAAATTCTGGTATCAATAAGCCTAATTAAGTTAGCTTTAAACAGTTTAAACCAATGTGTATGTTAATGCTTCATGTACATTAATTTACACAGAGTCCGTGTCAATTGAAACCCTTGAGAACAGTTTTTTAAAATAAAAGGTGTTCTATATCTCTCTATATCGAGACTACTTCTCACTTTTATAGCCCATTTACACGAGGCCAGTTGTGAAGACATTCCATTAAGCCAATCCAATGACCAAGTTGAGGCTATTGGCTCCTAATAGCCCATTTACACGAGGCCAGTTGTGAAGACATTCCATTAAGCCAATCCAATGACCAAGTTGAGGCTATTGGCTCCTAAAATTAGAAACCGTTCTAATTAGTGGAGTGGCTTGGTTACCTTGGTTACACGATGCCAATGTTGGATTGGCTTAGTGGAATGTCTTCACAACTGGCCTTGTGTAAATGGGTCATAAAATTAGAAACCGTTCTAATTAGTGGAGTGGCTTGGTTACCTTGGTTACACGATGCCAATGTTGGATTGGCTTAGTGGAATGTCTTCACAACTGGCCTTGTGTAAATGGGTCATAAAATTAGAAACCGTTCTAATTAGTGGAGTGGCTTGGTTACCTTGGTTACACGATGCCAATGTTGGATTGGCTTAGTGGAATGTCTTCACAACTGGCCTTGTGTAAATGGGTCATTATGGTATCGAACTATTTCGTTGTCAAAAGATCTGGGAAGTGGATATATTTTATGTTTTCTCGATTTCAATGGTATAACTCGTTTTATGACCAGATTGCCGATGATCCACTTCCTTAATATTTTGGTGAAATCTTTCTCCACGCCCCTCAAATCCAATCAAATTCCCCACTTTGGAGTTCAAAACCAGACAGACTTTTATAAACATCTTTAATAAGTTGATTGATCTTTCTTCTATTCCTATGGATCTCATACTTGCCACAGATATAGCAAAAGCTGTGCCTTTTGTCGAAATCGCATCCATGATTTGAACTTAGATGGTAAATTCTTGTAATAGTAGACTCGTAGCCACGTTTCTCACTACCAAACAACTACAGTCGCATGATGACGTTGATTGCAGGCCTGCTTGCTGAACAATCGTCGATACTGGGATTCCTTGTATCGTAATAGGTTTCCCTGTATCTGACATGACGACACAAACGTCTTCACCCAGGAATTTAGCTGATGATAGAAAAAGATGCACAAAAAGTCGTTGCTCACCATCATCACGTGGTGGCAGACACTTTAGGTGATCAAGATTTTTTCGATATGTCAAAGAAAATATACTCCGACGATACATGAATAGAAGAAAGATCGTTCAACGTACAAAAGATGCCTTTAAAATTTTGTTTGGTTTTGAACGCCAAAATGAAGAATTTGATTGGCTTTAATGAGAAGGGAGAAAGATTTCAGCAAGATATTAAGGAAATGGAGCGTGGGTACCATGGCAGACGAGATATAAACATGTAAAGAAATCCTCTTTGCAGATCTTTTGGCAACGAAATACATAGTTTGATAACACAAAAGTGAGTAGTAGTCTCGATACCATAATAGTGAGATATAGTGATTTCATGTTATTCATCAAGGCAAAAAACCTCTTATCTTGAAAAACTGTTCTCAAGAATCTCAATCGACACTGTAAATTAATGTATATAAAGTATTAACGGACACATTGGTTTGAATCTTCGGCTTATTAAGCTTTCTTTATTTTATTTTATTTGTTATTTAACTCTTAATACGCATAAATGTTTAATTTGAATGTTTTTGAGTTCAGAAATAAAATAAGCAATAATTACATTTAAGTCCAGTAATATAATAAAAATACTACTTTAAAACATAAAAAAGCTAAAATAATCTCTTAAATTCATGTCAGATTAAACTATTTCTATGTACATCAGTTGCTAAACCATATGTCGATATGATAATTTATCTGTAAGTTTAGACTGGCACAGGAATTCTTAGTAATATAAGATTTATGACGGTCCTAAATATGCCGGTGCAACTCTATTCGCCGACTACGGGGGGCTGAAGGGTGCAAACCCTTCCTCAAACATTTCAGAGGGACAGAGCTCCGCATGAATATTGTCACACCACTGCAAAACTGCTTGTTGGATACGTTTGGATACAGTGAATGAAATAATGTGAAATTGAAAAACCTTTTTTAAAAATAAAACAATTTGTTATTATTTACGAACCAAACCAAAGCTAAAAAATTATTCCTAAAATAATTATTTAAAATTTTATACATTTTTATCGTGTTCCTTAAAAAATAAATTTACAATTTTACTTACATCCAATTTGATGCAGTCAGTATTATACGGAACATTGCTTCGTGTGTAGGAGTCACAAGCATAAAAAATTTGTGTTGTATCCCTGGTAGCAAAATCTTGCACAAGACACTTCTACAAGACTGCTGTGTACCTACTGCTGAAATCGGCGTCAGGTTTACTGCAAGATTCATTGTGCAATTGTCTTGATCAAAGCTTTCAATGGATTTGGTTCAGGGCACTTGAGCACAAAGGGGTAAATTAAAGCAAGTGACTATGTTGCAGACTTACATTAGAATTAAGTAAGACATATTGTACTTGACTTATACTAATTCACCCCTTTGGACTCGAGTACTTTTGATTAAGTCTGGTGCAAGTATTGTAAAAGTATCTTGCATAAGAAACGATATAAATTTCAGCAATAGACACAAAACAATCTGACACAATTTGGCTATTTCAAGTAAACTTGAAACAACTTGTATTAGAATTGCACACGATTGTGCTACNAATCTAAAATAAACATGGAAAACTTAAATTTAATGCTGTGGAATGACATTATTAACGAGGATGTTGAGGAAGCGGTGGCAGAATTGGCTATTAGAAGAGATGTTTTGCCCCAGACAAATGCATTTCAAGTATCTGTATCTGATAGAAAATTTTTGCAGTTATTTAGAGTAGATAAGCACCTCTGTCATGACATAATTAATATGGTCAACCCTTTCTTAGAACCTCTGCTCTATCCATACAAACCAAGGTAAGTAAGAAATTTGTAGTTAGTTGAGGCACAGCCTAACATAACAAAAATCTGTGGTTGAAGCATGCAATAGGTTTTTACTTATGTTAAAATAATTAAAATTTACAATTTTTGTAGGTACTTGCTGCTCTCAGGTTTTATGCTTCAGGCAGTTATCAGGAACTTACTGGCTCGAACAGTTTTGTCGCCTTTAGCCAAGCTTCAGCTAGTCGAGGTGAATGATGTCAAGAATGCATTAAACCAACCTGAAATTCTAAATAATGTAATAAGGTTCCCTCGAAATATTCTTTTCGATTTCGATCTCCACAAATTTAAATTAAATTGTCAAAATAAAAGTGAAGTTTATCTGCGTTCTGTGTTCTGTCAGTTTTCTGCAATATCATTGGTCGAACAAACCGGCAACGCTGTTCCCCGATTTTGCTCCCTCCCTGATACACCTCGGTACGTTCGAGGTTTCAAGAATTCGGTGTTTTTCTGTCGGGGAGCTCAAATGAGGGAACGCTCCTCGGGAGCTCCCAGGGATAGCTCCCTTCTCTTGCTTTCAAGAATAGACGTCCGGATCTTTTAGAGATGTCAGCCTTTCCCTGAAAATGGGCTAATGCCATCTCTGTCAAAAGGGGATGATAGATCAGTGTATTAGTTATGTATACAATTTATACTAAATTGAAAATTATTATTTTTTATTGTACTGCTGTGTTTTACAATTTTATAGTACCAAGGAAGCTATTACAAACAGTGTGGATTTATCAGACTCCATAAGTAGGCAACTCATATATCATATATATGTTCCCACTATAGATCATCTTAAAATTAATGACTATAATTTATTGCCATCATATTGCGATTATCAAATAGTTTTGTCGTTTTAATAAATCCTTCTTATAGATTTTAGTGTATTCCTTAACTTAAAGCACAAACGAAATAACGTCAATATTTGTCAGTTTTAGGAAAACCTACGTTTTAATTGCGACAAATGTAATGTTTAACACATCAAAAATGTTAATTGGTTGACTTTTAGAAAGCTGGTTTTGCAAAATTATGCACATTAGCTTTTAAACTGTCTAAAAATTCTTTGGGTTGCTAAATAAGTTGAAAATACTTTTACTTATAAGTTACTTATAAATTGAAATAAAACAATGTATTGTTGGTTGTATCTTAGAATGTAGGCATTTGGTAATATATACGTTTCTAAAACATATCAAAGTAAAAGGAATTATTTGTTGTATAATATGACAATTTAAAATTATAGGAACATAATATTTGTACTTATTCAGGTACTTAAATTAGTTGTCTTTTTAATGAGAACAAATTTAGGTTAGAAATATTAAAATATAATGGATTTATTTTCAGTGGCAATTTTTTGTGCATAGTAAGCAAACAATATTTTAGTTTTTCTTGACATTCATTAGTAGTCAGTTTCATTCAAACTGTATTTTTTAATAGTTTTTTAATTCAATTTATAAATCGGTGATTTTTAATTCACTAAAATAAATACGTTCAACCGGAAAACAAAATAAAAAAACTGTTATCCCAAAAATCACAGTTTAAGTAAAACACAGTATACAAAACAGTAAAGTAAATACTGATGACACGTCATTGGTTTTATAAGCTACTCTAGCAGGTTAAGTTAATTTGTAGAGGGCAAACAATTAACGCTCTCATATCATTATCTATTACATGTATTATGATAATTGCCCTATTATAAAAATTTAAGTGACAAATTGTCCCTTTTAGAGGTACGCTTTCTTAGATCTTACGGCGTCGATCGCAGTGTCCCCTGGCCATGGATGGACTAATTTTCAAAAAAACTATGGATAATGTCAGCAATTAAACGGACCCTCTTATCCTGAATACGCTTGACCAAGTAATCCAATCGTCGCCGTCGGCGTGTTGATGAATAGCATGCTAATCACCACGAATTTTTGAAGGAATTAAGGTTATTTTCTGAAGTGCATTCTTTTTGTAAAAAATGTTCCTGTAGGAAGATTAGAAAAAGCATTAAATTAATGAATGCATAATTCTGGCTCGTCTTAGGTAGATTTTAGTTAATTTCGAGGGTGTTGAAAAAAAGTTCAAACAAGTATACGTCCGGAAGAATTTCGTTTCCGAGATACAAAGTGTTAACGTTCTCGTAATAAATCAGGTTTTGTTTATATTTTCCAAACGGATTGACCAAATAACTTCAATTTCAAAACAGGCTGTTATTTAATAAGTCTGCATAATTTGAATGTGGAGATGATAAATGAGACAATTCAGAAGCGGAGATTCAGGGAAACTGTATTTTTTTTAACAATACTTCTACGCCATAGATGTGTTCATGAAAATAGCATTTTATGAAAGAGCAAAGTAGTTTACTAGTCCAGGGATATGAGGAAAATGCCGTGACTGTTGAGTAGCCAAGGATAAGTTTTTCATACAATTGGGGTGAATTTTAGTATAATATTTGCAAAACCGACACACCATCAAGTGAGGTTTTTTAATAATTAACAATAAAAGGTCTAAAATAACCCAAAATATCACTTTTTTGCCTACCAGAAAAAAACGATAATTTTTATTATATTGTGAAAGTAACCAACTTGTAGGGAATACGATAATTTGTTGCTCGGGAAATTGCAAAAAACTGTCAAAATTCGATTATTACTAAATAAACAATAAGTTTTGCAAAAGTCAACCTACGACTGTCATATTCCATAAATAGTTGGCTTTTATAGTCCTTAATATGTGATTAAAATTTCAAACCAATTCATCCAATAGTTTTTGCAAAATTCTAAATGCTTATCCCAGAGGCATAATTTTTGCAATAACTTGACACGCAAAATTACCAAGATATTTTAATTCTGCGGGTGTCATATGAAAGAGAATGACTTCTTTTATTGGAAAAAATTATTTTATTGCAAAAAAATTGTTTTTTACTACTACAAAAACATACCACAAAAACACTGTCATATTTGTTTTACAAACAGTTACAATAAATTTGTTGCTATTATACAGGGTGTTCCTAAATAAGTGTCGCAACGGAAAACTGTAAATTCCTCTTGAAAAAAGAAACATTATTTTCCTCTTCCATTTTTCTCTCCGGGCTTTCGTTTTCGAGATACACGGTGTCAAAACTTTAATTTTTTTTTTAGTTTTTCGCCAATATCTTAGGAATCGTTTGAACTACAGGACTGAGCTTTTGTACACACATTACCACTATTAATAGCTACTTTTTCGCACCCTTTTCGAATTCATTGGACGTGCCAGTGGTGGAGATTTTAAGGTATCGTAAGGGTTTTTCCCCCCCTAAATTTTACGCCACTGGAAAAATTGACTTTTGACAGCAAATTCTAAAGCGCCAATGAATTTTACACAATAAGAGTTCTCTTGGTTCATTGCTCTAAAGTCAACCGTTTTCAAGAAAAATGACTTTTTATGAACAAAAGCAAACATTTTGCTAACGTTTCGAAAATCTTTTGTAATTCAAAAAATAGGTAGTAATAATTAACAATTTTAACGAAATTTAACAACAGATAGGATTTTAACTTTTTTTGAATTACAAAAGATTATCGAAACGTTAGCAAAATGTTTGCTTTTGTTCATAAAAAGTCATTTTTCTTGAAAACGGTTGACTTTAGAGCAATGAACCAAGAGAACTCTTATTGTGTAAAATTCATTGGCGCTTTAGAATTTGCTGTCAAAAGTCAATTTTTCCAGTGGCGTAAAATT